CAAATGGCCGCTGGTCCACATGCCAGGAGGCACCCTCTGTAGGCATCCAGAGGTGGATGTTCTTCTGACAGTCACCAGTCAATAGGCGACCTGGGGAAAGAGAGTCAGGAAACCACCTTGTCCCAACTGGCTGTAGCTCATGCCCCTCCCTGGAGTCTAAGTAGCCACCCTTGATGCAGCCCCTGCTCCTTTCCCCCTCTGTGGACCATGTGCACATCCCAGGGACTCACCAGGCACCCGGGAGGACCAGTCAAGTGCAAAGCCTTCTCCCATGTGGCCAGTGAAGCTGAATATGGGTTTCACTCGGGCCTGCTCGTCCCGGAGGAAGGTTGCCAGGGCCTGGGGGTCATCCACCACCTGTAGAAGCCGCTGCAGTGCAAACACCTCCACCTGGCCTTTCTCTGACCATACCCCAGCCACAGGCTCCTCGCCCAGCCATGACACCTGCAAGAGATGGGGAAAGGATGTGTAAAGTGGAGGGATGGGGGCTCAGTGGTGACCACAACCTACCCACATCGCTGAGAACTGGAACTGCAGTTCCTCAGATCCCCAGGGCTGGGACTACAGCTCTCAGAGACCTCTGTGGGAAAGAAATCACAACCTGCAAGACCAGTGTAGTAATGGGACAACTCTCTATGAATGGGTGAAAGTAGTGGAGGTTGCAGGGACAAAGCTCCAAGACACCTGGAAATTGAGGCTGTAATTCGCACCAGCCATCAGGAGTATGTTGAGACTTTTGGTCTCTGTAATCCTTTAAATGCTGGAGGGTCACAGGGCTCAGTCCTTGGGCCTCTTTGCCTTTGTACACGTGCTCACTAGGAGATCCCATCCAGCTTCAAGCTTTCTAATATCTCCTAGCCCTGACCTCTTTTCCTGAACTCCAGACTCTCACTGCACTGACCAATCAAACTTAACACAACCAAAGCCAAGCTCTTAATTGCCAACTACAACCTACTTCTACCATGTTCCTCATCCCAGGCCCAAAAAACAGCAGGACTCATTCTTGACTTGTCTCTTCTTTCTCATGCCCAACATCTATGCTGGTTGCACTAAAATGCACACTTCTAACCCGTTCTCATTACCTCTACTGATGTCACTCATGCTACTACTAATGTCATCTTTCCCCTGAATTACTGTAACAACCTCCTCACAGGATTCTATCCTTCTGCCCTTGCCTCCCTGCAGGTGGTTCTCAATATGGCAGCCAGAAGGACCCCTTTAAAACAAAAGCCAGATTCTGCCTTTCCTCTGCTCCAAATCTTCCAATGGCTCCCAATTTCTCTCCAAGTAAAGAAGCCCAAATATACACATAATGGTGTACACGGCCCTAAACAATCAGTCTCCTCTGTGCCCACAACCCTCCAAATCTTGTCACTCTGCCCCAGTCCATTCTGCTCCAGACATACTGGACTCCCCAGCTTCCCTTGAAACTCCTCAAACATGCCGAATTCACCCCAGGGCCTTTGAACTTGTGTTTCCCACAGATATTCTTGGCTTACTCCCTCACTTCCTGTGGGTCTCTATTCAAAAGGCACTTTATCACTGAATACTTCCCTAACCACACTATTTATTTACTTATTCATTTATTTTTTGCCCTCTGTCTAGGCTTGGGCTGCCACCACAAACTAACCACACTATTTAAAATAGCAATTCCATCCCATGAACTCCTTATCTTGCTTCGTTTTATTTTTCTCTACAACACTTAGCACCTTTTGACATACATTTACTTAGCTGCTTCTTGTGCCCTTCCCTCACTAGTATGTAAGTTATGGAGTCGAAGAACTTTTGCTTGCTGCTAAATCCTCAAGATTTAAAAAAAAGCATTTCGGGCTCACCTGATAGCTCAGTTGGTTAGACTGCGGTGTTATAACACCAAGGTCAAGAGTTCAGAGATCCCTATACCGGCCAGCCACACACCCACACTCACACACACACTCACACCCTCAAGATCTAGAACAGTACCTGAAACATGGTAAGAATAATTTAACGAAAACACACAGCACCACTTACGGGTCAAGTACTGCTCTAAGTGCTCTCCATACATCTCATTTTATTCACATATTTACCTGATAAGAAGATGCTTTAACTCTGACACAAACAAAAACTCACAGCCCAAAACAGTTCCTGAGTAATAATATAACAGAAAACATCTTACATTACAATCAAGTGCTATTCCAGGCACTATACATTATTTCATTTTATCATCACATCAGCCCCATCAGATAAGTTTTATAACTCTCACCATTTTACTGGAGAGGAAAGTGAGGAATATAAAAAATATCTCCATAGTCTGAAACAGCACATAGCATGTAATGACAATTATCACAATAGCTAAGATGTATATAACTATGTGACAAATACTTTTCTGAAAGCTAAAAGGCATGGTGCAGGGAGAGGTATGGACATAGGGGGTGGGTGGCGGATGGGGTGTGTTCCAGAGAATGCAGATCAGGCTCCTGGGACTATGTGTACCCGAACTCGATTGATCCCCCCATAGTGGGGCACCATGGCCAGCTCCAGCTGAGGCTTCTGCTCTTCATCTTCCTCCTCCTCCTCATCTTCATCACTGCCCTCTGAGAGTGGGGGCTTCGTCCCATGCAGATTGTGCATCCGAAGCATCATCAGCCTGAGAGAAAGTGTGGGATGAGTTAGGCACTGGAGACCAGAATCCTTAGGGAGGAGGAAGGCTGGAAAGTCAAACTCTTGGGTTTGCGGGAGGCAGAAGCTGGAAGCTCCAACTCCTGGGTCCTGAGCAAGGAAGGGTAGGGGGAGGCATGGAGACTCCGATCACTGGGTCCTGAAGAAGGAAGAGGAGGGGGACTCGGACTCCTGGTCCTGGGAAAGCCTCAGGTCTCACTCACCTGTTGCTCTGGGCGCTCTCCGCCTGAGTCCCAGCGCACAGGTAAAGTGTAACAGGAAATTCTGTCCGGTTGTCTCCCAGGTGATCACGGACTATGTCGAAGCTGAGACAGGGGGCGCCTAGGGATGGAAAGAGGGGTTGAAGAGTTAGAACGGCACAGAGGGATCTCAGCCCCCATCTCCCTCAGGAACCAGCCGTCTCCAGTGTGGACACCACCTCTCCTAGACCCCAGCATTCTCTTCCGGAGTGCCTCTTAAGTTAAAGGCTCGGGATCAGCCCCCTGGGACTCAGGAGTCCGAGCCCTACCAGTTTGCGCTCTGTGGTACAGCATATAGGCCTCTTCGTCCATGACCAGCTCTTCCCCTTCGCGCAGCGGAGGTCCCCGGCCGGGCAAGTAGACCTGGGCTGTGTTCTCGGAACCTCCGTCGCCGGACTCGGCCTCCATGAGTTCCCCGGTTTCACACGTGCGCCGCCGACCCCTGCGTGCCGCCATCTTCGAACTCTCTCACCGCCGGCGCGAGGTAAAAGCGTCACTTCCGGGTTCCTCTTGCCACCTTCTGGAATCCTGCCAACTGCGCGGTTACCTTAAAAACCTCCCAGTCCACCAATTAGAGCGGGCGATGGGGAGGAGGGGAAGGAGAACTAAGGTAGCGGCTTCCTGGCCAAGCGAGAGAAACCTGCGGGGATGGAGAAACTCCAGGCACCGCTTGACTCTGGGGGACTCTTCTGCGTAGCCGTGGAAAGGGCTCCTGGGAGTTGTAGTTCTGTAGGAGGCCTGTTGCTCCGTCAACTCGAGGAGTTCTGAGCCCCGACTCCATCTTCCACTTTGGATTCCCAGTGCTTTATTCCCACTTAATTAATTATTCATATATGTAAACTTGGGCTCTTACTTGTCAAAGAGACTGAGTTTCTGTTCCCTGAGGATCCATAAAGCCAGTTTCTTTGCCGCTCCCTGTTATAATGGCTTTAATTTATTTCAAAATGCTTCAGTGTAGACAGGCTGGATATTATGTGTGAGTTAGTGAGTTGAATCTACCTTCTAGGGGCAGTCAGTTGCCCAACCAGGCCTTCACCTTGGAGCTCCGGTCAGCAAACAGTTAATCGCAAGTCCACCCTCTAGAGGCAGTTTTTACTGGTGCTTCGGCTCTCTCTCTATCGCCCATCAGCTCCAGCGCTTTGGCTTACTGGCATAATGAAATGTTAGAAATAGAGTCTCAGCGGTGAGATTAAGGGCATTCAAGATATGCGGATCGCCTGGGACATGTTAGGCGCTCTCTTCGCTTGCATGAACAAGATATTAAAAATCTAATCAGCCTTGTTGCCTATAGCCATAGAAAATGAGACCCTAGATCGGATCCTAAAATGTTTGTGTCCTGGATTTCTCTCACCAGTCTCTTGAGGCCTCTGTTTGTCCCGGCCCCCTCTCAACAGCGTCTCATCTCAGGGCCTCTTCCCACCGCCTCTTTCTTGGCCTTTGAATCCCCTCCTCCTTTCACAGTCTGTTCTGTCTCTAATTCTCTGTCTCCTTTTCCCCTATGGAACTTTTTTCAGTTTCTGTTTCCTCCAGAGAAATGAGGAGGCCTAAGAGACAGACACGGAGCTCAGGCTTGGATTGAGGAGGCATAAAAACATGGTTTATTCCAAACACCGCAATGTGGAATAGGAGAGTGGAAAGGAAGGTTGGTGGTGGAAGTCGGACTCTCAGACCCTTCCCTTCCCTCCACAACCCAGCCCCAGACCCGGCTGGAGATCTGGGAAGAGGAGGCTTTCGGGGGTCTGCTGGATCATCACTGAATAAGGTCACAAATAAGGGTTGGATTTGGAGATTTGTGGTTGGTGGCACCTAGGGTGGCAGGGAATACGGCAAGGTGGGAAGTTTTATTTTGAGGGAACTCGGGATCCTCCCAGGGCAGGGGAAGGCAGGGCTTCCGTTGAGGGCGTGTCTTCGGTCAAAGTAGGGTAAAGCTACCAGGGTGGATAAGGAGGAGGGGGTGTCACGGTTTGATGTCAAGGGTCACAGTCTGGTTGGGGCAGTCTGGGGCTCGGGTCACAGTTTGGGGTCAGGGGTCACAGTCTGGGGTCGGATGACCATTTTAGGGGTCGGAAGACAATTTTAGGGGTCGGAAGTCACAGTCTGGGGTCAGGGGTTTCTGTGTGGCAGGGTCTGGGGTCACAGTTTGGCGAACGAGTCTCACAGTTTTGAGTCCCGATGGATGAAAGGTTAAAAACGGGCTTCCCCGGAGGCGTGGCTGGGGCCGGGGAGCTGCACAGTGATGTGGGGGCTACGGCCCCGGGAGTGGGGGTGGGGCGCGGGCGTGGCGTGACCCCCCCACGCCCCATCTGGTGACGTTAAAAAGCCCTTGTCGGGTTTTTAAAAAAAGTCTGCTGGGATCCGAGACCCTCGCCCACTCATTCTCAGGCTGGGTGAGATTTGGGGGACCAAATCCCCTCCGGTTCGCGGTTCCCCCACGCGAGGGGGCGCAGGACGCTGCTCCAGGCGGGGTCCGTCCAGTTCCATTTTTTTCTTTTCCACCCTCTCGGGTCCTGTCCATTGCGCGCGTCCCCTCCGGCCGTGGCCTGCGCTGACCGAGAGGGCGTTGGGGCACCCCCGGGCCGCGTCATACCTCGGATTCGAGGCTGGAGAAGTGCGCCGAGCCCCTGCGGGTGCCCAGGTCCCCGCCCCGGTGTCTCCGGTGGGGCGCGGCGGGCAGCGGCGGCCCCCAGTGCGTGGCGTGCGGGCACCGGCGCG